CAACAATTTTATTCCTTTTTAATATTTCATTTGTTTTTAAACACAAACTTATAATTTGTAAACGAAATTAACTATTTTCGTCGCTATGGAGCTTCCTATTTTTGCAACCCTGTCTTGGGCATAAATTATATGTTTTTTAAGAATCCTGTTGACGCGAAGCTCATCAGTTTGGGAATTTTTGAAAACATATTTCCATAATGGCATAAAAGAAATAATGTTGCCCATTTCTCACTACGTCAATAAATCCGTGAGTCGCCAATTTGTTACCATTAACGATTGTTGCCTATTTCTCATGTTTTGCATGATGGGCTGGCATCGTGATTCAATAATTAGTAGGCGACATATACCGTGCGTCTGACTCTTGAGTCGGTTTGGAAGTGCTTGTGAAAATAAATATGTGTTAGTCATACCGACATGAAACCTGGCATGACTCTGAATGATTCAACTTTGAGTAGTAGAAGGCGAGTCAATACGTACGCAAATGACTCGCGAGTCAGACGCACCGTCTATGGAGCCTATAATGCTGCGCACAAAAATTAAGTATTGCGCTGAAATGTGTGCTCAACCAGAAGAACAACGACTTTGGTGGATTAATTAATACTACGAGTGAGGTGGTTTCAGCTATATTTGAAGAATTTTTGCAACCAGCGGCAAATAATCTAAAAACAAAGGCCGACTAAAAAGATTAGTAAAAATATTATACAGTAGTTAATTTGAATATCGCTATTAGCATAATTACGACTAAATCCACAAATTTAGTAGCATCCATTGACTTAAAAAAAAATGTGCAAGGGTTTTGCAACAGCAGATAAACAGGAAGTGGGGAGTTCGAAATTTGTTCGAAAATGGATATGACCGGGCTTGCATCCGGAACTATTTCAGCACGCTTTCTTATAAGTTTGTCAAAAATTTATGTCTGCATACATATGTATGTATATATAATATGTACATACATATGTTGTATATGCCTATTGTAATTAATATAAATTAATTATCCAATAAATTTTTTAATGAAATAGTAAAAATATTTCGAGACTCGTTTAGTTTGGCGAATTTCACGTGTGTATGTACATATGTATACATTTTGACAGCTCTATCAGCTGGGTGACTTTAACTGCATTTCGCAATGCAGCCCTACTTGCTATACTTTCCCAAGAAAATCGTGCACTAGCAGTGAACAAGTGTAATATAAAACGTTTTGTGCGGTGAAATTAAAAGTTTTAATTCTTAAAATTGTTGCGTTATTCGTGTGGCACTCCGTTCTTCCTACCAAAATACACATGCATAATTATTAAATGGATTTATTCTCGTGAACGGTTGAAAGTAATTCACACTGCTTGTTACTTTGCAACGTAAGTAAAAGTGCGACGCAACATTCACTCGCGTTGCAATGATGGAATTAAATGCGAATACGTATGACGTTGACCTGGAGGACGGTGAGGTAAAAAAATACATCTTCCCCTGCATTTTTGTCCTAAATCTACTTGGAACTCAATGGAATTTTCTTTGTGACCTCATTTATTTTCAGCTTTCTGCTAGTTCTGATGACGTTTATACACCGTTGCAACGCCCAAGTACGCTGTCAATCAACACCTCTGTGGCACTTGATGGTACTGCAACGATTGCCGAACAGTGTAGTCCACTTGCAACTTGTCATGACATGCAGCGTGCTTTAGAGGAGGATGATTTGGAAGATTCACATGGCAGTAGTGGCGATTCTTCGTCAAGCGAATCATCCGATGCATGTCTAAAGAAACTATCAACTAATTCTGCACATGATGGATCGGCTGATGCGCATGCCCATCGTAAACGTCGAAAACGTGTACGTCGTACAGTGATGGTTCGCGTACCTCCAGCAGACATGGAAACGCAAGAAAAGCGTGCACGCTTCAAAAAGTACAATATTTGGACAGCAGCATTGCAAGAAGAAGCACTAACCGAAGACATGCGCGGCTGCGAAGTAGCGCAAGTTGACGGGGCTATAAATGATCGTAATGTTGAAAATTATGATTTTTCGCTGCATCGACGTTTGAACGGCGGCAACTGTCTTAAGCGTCGGCTTTCCAATTCAACTGATGATTTCTCCGATAATGAATTAATGCCTGTGGCGAAGCGTGGACGCTGCGCAAGTGAAGCGGCCGCTCATCGTCGTTCAGTGAAAAGTCGCTTAGGCTATCGATCGCGTACATCACGTGGAAGGCGCGGCTCATCACCTACCAGCGGTTCCGACACTTCATATGAGCCACGAAATATACTTGATTTAGAGCCATTGGAAGGACGAGACCCTGCTGATATTGCACGGGAAATGTCTAATAAACTGCATGAGGAAAAGGATGAATTATTTGGTAGATATTTCAAAATTAATTCTAAGATTCAGGGTGTCTTACCTAAAAATTTATATATATATTACAGTGCGGATTGTAGATGTGCTGGGCACTAAATTGCCTGTTGAAATTTATAAAGAGACGCAGCGCATAGAAGCCGATGGTGGCATGATGATAATGGTAACATTACATATGCATAAATAATTATTTAATGGCTGTCTTTTTTAAATTATAAAATTGTTTTCACAGAATGGCAAACGTCGTCGCACACCAGGAGGTGTATTTTTGTTTCTGTTGAAAAACCATCAAAGTCTCACACTGGAGGAACACAAATTTATATTTTCGGAAGATCGACAAAGGACCAACAAATGGAAGAAAGAAATGGAGGCACTTTCACGTGAACGCAAAGTGGAAGAGTTAAAAAAACGTCTAAGTGAACAGGAAAAAGACTTGCCGGCACTAAGTACTCGAAAGGAGCATATCTTGCTTGGATCAAATTTAGAAAATCAATCGGGCAACCGTAAGTAAAAACTATTTTCACTCTCCAGACTAGGTTAGTGTAATATATTCTATTGTAGTATCCAATCCACCGCCTTCGCCAGTGGGCAATGAACAAAGTCCAGATTACAAAGCTCATGCCATTAATCATGTACCATCAGATGCAGACACCGATGCTAGTCCTGATAAGCCATCAACTTCTGCATCGGCATTAGCGGCCTTAACATCTCCATCAAAAGAGTTAGTGGGTTATGATGATGATTTCCTCGATGTCAATTGCGGTGAAATGGATTTCATTTAAAGAGAAATTTTTACTTTCCGCTGCAGTACAGGCAAAATATGTACAGATTAGCATGCAAATGGAAATAAATTCATCATCATAAAAAAATCAAAAAAACAACGCAAATATATAATACAAATGTACTTTTATACATACTAAATATGGCATAAGCATAACCGAACATACATACATACGTACATATGTATCTCGCATGATGTTAAAAATAGTATTGTTCCATTAAAAATGCGGTTACATTTTAATACAAAAACCGGTGGCATGTAAAGTTTTTGATCACAATACATATATTGGAAAAGTAACAGTTATTAAAAGCTATTCTCTTTCTGAAAGCTTTGAGGACACTATTCTGTATGTAATGTAAATATGTAGACTGGCGGGGAAACTTACAATTGTAGAATGTTCCGTTGATCATTAATTTTGTATACAAAGGATCAAAAGAAAATTCAACAAAGTATTATAAGGCGATTTATACACAAGCGATCTATACTACATGCGTAGATATGTACATACATGCTCCCAATATACATATATATGTATGGAAATGTACATATGTATATTTGATGATAAAAAGAAATTTCTAGAATCGAATATTGAGGGTATTTCTTGCAAAAAGAAGTCGTTGAAAACGACATCGGTAATTTATTCACATTAGATTAACGGTGAAATAAATTTCGGAAAAAATTAACGCATTTCAGTAAATAAAAATATGTACGAATAAATAGATTTAAATGTTGTTTTAATCCCAGTAGATAATTTTAGGAGCTAAAAGGTCTTCCACAAGGCATTCTTGAGAGTCATGAGGTCTTCCGCTCTACATTTCTTTCCCCTTCCTTTTTTACATGCAGTGGCACAAATTGAAGGCCTTCGTCTTTCGCTCTCATAGAATGCCTTCCACAATGGTTTTTGTAGAACGTATTTCAGAAGGACTTCATGGAACAAAAAAAAAAATATTTTTCTTCTTGGACGACGGAAATGGAAAAAGTGTGTTCTCAATTTTTATTTTTTTTTTTAAATCAAGTTATGATAATTTTATTCAAATTCATTGATCAATTAATTTTCAGAGCCTATTTCAAGTAGACCTATAGTTATTAGTTATTGCAAAGCTGCAAGCCTCATAAGCTGAATAAAGTGATAAGGGCCTGAAAGCCCGCAACGTCTGTTGCGGAGGTCCACTCTTATATTACACTAATACCATCGAAAAACTATCGATGATATACTGAGCTATCGATGGTTTTGAGCAATAGTATCGGAAATTATCGATGGCTCGGACTATCGATAGTTTGCTAGCCCTAATGTGTACTTTTCGCTTTTCTTTTCAATCCCTCACTGATGAGCAGAATTGGATTCAATACTTGAACCGTGTAAGATACGTTTAACTTAAATCCCGAAAAAAAATAAATTTTTTAGTGAAAATTAAAAGAAAATAAAAGTGTGGTAGCACATTAAAATTCTGTCACACGGTGTGTTCAGTGTAAAAACTAGCCATAACCACGAATAGGGGGAAAAATTCCTTGCATTCGAAAGTGAAAAAAATACCTAGAATTTCGGAAACGATTGAAAGGCAAACACACGACGATATCAAGACATACCGCATTTTTTAATTATTTTATTCTAGTGAATATTTTACTATAAATTATTTTATATTATGACTCTAACAATTGTGATTATTTGTAACTAAAAGACATTGTGATAAATTTGTGTGTAAGTTGATTGAAAAACTCCGGTTATTAAGAACGTACTATCAGTGTATAGCCATAGAGGTACGCTGAACGAACGACCAACTATTTGAGCGTCGGCTTATGCGTGTGGCAAGCGTATAAAACTATCGCCGCTTGTGTGTGTGCAGACGCATTGATATTTCCAGTGCCGGTGCAATGCGTAAAACGCGTTCGCAAACTCAAGCTGAAGCCGCAATGGCAAATGCGGGGCGTGCAACCAGCAGCACACCTTCCGCTGTATCATCGACAGACAATAACTCCCAACAAAGCATAAGTGCAAGTGTTCGCAGTGCACCCACTGTCCAAGTGGCGACAGTGAGTGCCCAGAAGCGTGTTGTGTCGCAACAACAATTAGATCATTTTAAAGTCAAGGTACGTGTTTTTTCGGAATAGCTGGTTTCGGTTAAAAATAATTATTGGGGTTGAAGAAAAGTATCCGGCTCAAATTATTATAGTAGTCTTGTGTATTTTTGTCAATGAAAATCTAATATTTGATAAAAAACATTGTACATATGCAATGACATATGCATTGTCAAAATTCCCGCTATTTTTGCAGCTGCCCTTTTGTCATGGGGTGTGTTTTAAGGGTGGGTAACTCTGTAAATTTTGGTGTGCTGACTCAGTAACTCCAACTCACTTTAATGAGTCAGCACAGTGAGCTGGCACAAGTGTGCTATCGCACAATTGGTATGTGCATCGAAATTATTGTTGATGTTAGTAATCGAAATCGATTTAGAAAAGGTTATCCTTAGCTTCTATTCGTAGCTGGCCGGCAAAATTTTAGAAAACTGATTTCAACTGGTGAGTTCATTTGCGTATATTCAATTGATGGTTAGTCTCCTGATGCCATCTATTATGGTACTTTTTGGAAGATCGTATTATGTGAATGTGTGAGCTCATCAATTGAGTTACCATATCGACACAGTTCTAAACAATGCAGCCGAACCGAGCTATGCAAGTGTCAGCACATCAACTGAGTTACCATATCGACTCTGAAGCACACTGAGCTATACATTGTCAGCACATAAACTGAGTTACTGAGTTACAAATTTTTTCAGAGGTGAGTCTGAGCGTGCGGCACAGTTCTAAGAGTCAGCACAGTAACTCAGCACAGTGCTGAGTTACCCACCTCTAGTGTGTTTGGCCCAAGGCGAACCGGGCCGTAGAGTGTTTGAGCCAGTGTTGCCATTTCGCGCTTTGGTGCTAGATTTGCCCTGGCATAGGGCTGCAAAACTATCGATAGTGACGCCATTCGATAGTATAGATATTTTCGATAGTATCGTATACTATCGTGTTGTATATGTAGGGAATCTTCAACTCCGAACAAAATGTGTATAATATATACATACAGATGCGTGCAACTAATTAGCAACGAAATTCAAAACGATATTGCTTGCAAATTATGTTTATTTATTTAATTTTAATAATTTTCATTTAAAATATATTTCAATCTATTTCAGAAACCACAATAACAAAAGTTGCAAAGCTTGCACAAATTGCAAAAAATTTATCAAACTTCAAAAAATTGTCATCAAAATTTCAAAATTTTTAATTAGGATATTTAGAAAATTTTCGGTTTTCTTCCATATAACACATGATCAAAATACTTTTTTACATGGGAAAAAATCCGCAAAATTTTGAAATTTTGATAAAAATTTTTTGAAGTTTGATTAATGAGGGAATGAACCGCCATTGACAAAAATGCAACCCCCGACCACATAGGTCCCCTGTGGTTCCCTAGGGACCCCTTAGAAAAATTGCCAAAAATCACAATTTTCATTTTCGTTTATTCGCTTGAAAAATGTTAAATATTCATTTGCACAATACATTTTTATATACACATTTTTATATACAAGACATTTTTATAAAACACCCAGTAACCAAAATAGACATCACTGGGGCGGCAGCCCCAGGTTTACCACACAGAAAGAGAATTCTAGTTACCTTATCCTTTCCCAAGGTTACATCACTGGGGGGTAGCCCCAGTTAGGTCACACAGAAAGGAGAATTCTACGTAGTAAGGGTTATAATCCCTAAGCGCGGCCGAAGGCCGCCTACGCAGAAAGGAATTATACGCAAAAATACTGTGGACGCAAGTAAAAATTGCGATTTTTGACCATTTTTCTAAGGGGTCCGTAGGGAACCATAGGGGGCCTAGGTGGTCCGGGGTTGCATTTTTGTCAATGGTGGTTCATGCCCTCTCCAAAAAGGTCGGTTGAAGGTGCCACGCCCACTCCCCCTTCGCCCACCGCACCTTCAACGAACGGCCATAATGGATGTTTTTCCAAAAATAAAACTATCGATACTATCGATAGTTTTGCAGCTCTACCCTGACATTCAGTAAGCGGTCTCTAGTCACAAATAGTAGTGGTATTTATCTAAACCGATAACTTTATCAAGCAGATAATCTTATAAGTTTACACACTCTGTTACATGAACGACCCACACTCTTTTCATTTACACATGCGAAAATAGTGGTATTTTCGTTGGCTATAGGGCCCTGTCACACGGTCAGTATTTATTGACGTGATCCAACCCAATAAACATTTAGGTTTGAGCTCAACTTGAGGTTAGGTTGAGAACTAAGGTATTTCCCAAATCTCCAACGTTGTTTCTCAACAGTACCTCAAGTGGTGGATCATAGCGTTCTCAACAAAAAGGGCATTTTTCTTTGTATGAAAAAAGGACTGTTTCTTAAGTTGAGAAAATGCTAGTTCTCAACTTGAAGTCCAATGTAATTCTCCAATTAGTCTCAAACATATCATTGAAATACTGAAATTGAAATAGTAAAATACCTCATACCTTTTTGATTGAAACGACATACATAAATGAATTTAAATAATAATTTTTCATTTTATTACTCCTTTTATATTATGTAGTTAAGCAAAATCGTATTACAATAATTCACTTCACAGTACACAGTCCGAAAGTAATTTTGCCACTTGATTCACTTGGCGTTTTATTTTCTTTCAAGATTATTTGAGGATACTTTGAAGATGATTTACTTTTTGTTGGTAATTTTCCTCTTTATATAGCTTTAGTTTTTCACTTGATAATTAAAGATTCGTTTCTCTATCACTTTTTAGAGTTGGAGAATGTTGTTGGATATCAACTTGAGAACTATGAATTTCTCCAAGGTTGGAGAAATACTTTTTTAGTGTTTATTGGGAAGTATCGGGATATTTATTGACGGTGTAGCAAAGAACGTAGATAACAAGAAGGGACAAATCGTTATAATTGTAGCGAAAGTGTGCAACAGGGGCGTGCTTTCTCTTTCGTCCTAGTGCATTTTTTGATTGGATGAAAAGAGAAGGCACGCCCCTGTTGCCCACTTTCGCCACAATTATAACGAGTATTGATGGATCGTGATCCATATCGCCAAATTTCTAAAAAATTTTGAAATCTGGATCGCGGATCGTAATACCGTCAATAAATGTTGAACGTGTAGCACTTTCAAAACGCGATCAATACATTTCGCCAGTACATCTTTTACTCTCATATTGCGAACATCGGCTCTGCCTTCACTCTCGGGGCTTAAAATCTTTCAAAACAAATTGAACACATTTTAATTAACATTGGAAACTTTAAAATAATTGTGGAATGCATTATCTGTAAATTATACGTACAAAATAAAAATATTTTCTTGCGTCATAATAAGCGTTCAGCACAAAAATTATGCAAATACTGACGCGATAAATATTGAACATGTAGCATTCGTGCGCGATCCAAATATCGTGATAATTACTGACCGTGTGACAGAGCCTATAGAGCTCAGTATCACTAACTTTATACTACTAGCACGGGGATAAAGAAATTATAGAAACTACCTCACTAAATTGGAAAAAAATTATATTTACGAGATAATATCTATTTAAATAAATATACATATAACATTAAGGCTATTTATTTGAAGCAAGTTAAAAGAATCAATGGCAGAATGTCTGTTTGTGTATGAATTCATTTGTCTCGGCTACCAAACTTGGCGGCCAAATTATCAGTGAAACAAAACAAACAGACAGGATAATAATTGAACCAGATCTGTATCAGGATCATATTGTTGTTGAATTTGCGTGCAAAATATGTATGCCGATCCCGATTGTTGCCCAAGAAAACATAGCTAGAGTTGCGACAGAGTTGCATCAGTGAAATCGCTGGATAAATTTATCAGAAATGTGTAAACGAGTTTCCATACAAATTTTGACGGTTCATTTATAAGGATTACACAATTATAAGTATATACGGTTTACAATGCATTTATAAGGTTTGATGAATACCCTTAGGCCGTTGCGCTCTGTTTGCTGATTGGCGAGCACAGGGTTGCTTCTTAAGAAATGCGGTTTTCAGCACTGACGTAAAAATGCAACTAAAAATGCATCAATATTGAAGTCGGAAAATGAAAAATGGTAGAACGCCTTAGTATTTTTTCTTTCTTTAATATTTAATTTTTATATATATTTTTATATTTTTTTTAATATCTACTATAATAATAAAAAAAAACAATATTTTTTACTATTCTAATATTTAATACTAATACTTTTTCGCAAAATAGCGCATTGCCACCCTGAAAAATTGGCGTGCTGGCTGTTCGGTTCACCCAGCAAATCGTGCTGGCTGTTCGATTTCGAAAATTCTCTCGCTCCGTGCTGTGCACAACAATTGCACGGTGATTGCCAATCGAAATCATGGTTGCCACTCGCCAACATTTTTTTCTACCAAAATCTCTTAGGAAAAGTTACCAAAAGTTACCAAATCTTCACTTCTTCACTGAGAAAAAAATATATGTACTGAATAAAACTGCTATATTTTACAACAAATGTGTATATACTTACAGCCCGTTTATGTGACTTAATAAATTCAATATTTTTATAATTTTTCAATTTTTGATCATTTATCAAGAACTCCCAGTTCTAACACAGAAGTTTAAATCTATTTGCTTGATAAATTATCAAGATTGAAAATGCTATTAACAATTATAATAATTTTTTTTTTATTAGAAAATATTTTTTTTTACAATTAATTGTTGCATGTCCAATATTGTCCGGTGTAAACGCGCCGTAAGGCGGAGAAATCAACTGATCTCACAATACCATCTTGTATAAATTCGCCTTGGCTTCAACGAGTTACGTTTGCATCATGATCCAACTACACAAGATCTGACAAGATGAAGCAAAAGAAGAAAGTAATTTTCTGGCTGACGTTTGTAATTTCGCCGCCATGTTATTTTCTATGAAAAGTAAACAAAGAATATGAAGACGAAGCATAAAGAAAAAATACAAGCAATGTTGTGCACATGTTTGTGCTAACCAATTTATTATTTTTGTACGTGTTTTTGCATCCAGTCACCGCGCACTTCATTTTAATTATATTTGCAC